AGGCTAATCCTCCGCCTAGCGGCACCAGCACACCGGGTTCTAGTCCCGGTCGGGGCGCCGGATTCTTTCCCAGTTGCCCCTCTTCCAGGACAGCTCTCTGCTGTGGCCCGGGAGTGCAGTGGAGGATGGCCCAAGTGCTTGGGCCCTGCATCCCATGGGAGACCAGGAGAAGCACCTGGCCCCTGCCTTCGGATCAGCGCGGTGCACCGGCCACAGCGCGCTGGCTGCGGCGGCCATTGGAGGGTGAACCAACGGCAAAGGAAGACCTTTCTCTCTGTCTCTCTCTCTCTCACTGTCCACTCTGCCTGTCAAAAAAAAAATGTAGCCACAGATGCTACCTAATTATTGCTCGGAAGTAATTCAAGGTAGAGATGCTAGGAGTAGATCACTTTTGAGTAGTTGTCTCCCTCCTCTAGGTGGGGCTCCTCTGCACAGGCTGACTGAGTACAGTAACTAGAACAGATACAATATGCGTGTTTGCCTCTTGCTATATTTTTGGGTGTATGCAGTAGTATTCTTCATATAAATTTCAGTTTGGTCATTATTAGGAGTTCCATTTCATTACGGAGGAAATGAAAGCTCGGACAGGTTAAATAACTTGCTCGTGATCATACAGCTAGCTGGTAAGTAGCAGGGCTTTGTTTATGAAGTCACATTTGACTCTTCTTCCTTCCACACTCTATGACACAGCAATGACCAATATGTATTCCATTCAAATGGACATCATCCATCTGTGTGTGGATGCACACACTCACACATACACACACACACACACAATTTTTCTTCTTGCTCTCTGTCTCCCTCCTGAGAGAGAGAGAGAGAGAGAGACTAGAATTCCAAATTCTTCTCCCTTTTATTTACCACTTTGGGTAATGATTTCAGAAAACACTTCAGGGAGGCATTTATAAATCAGAACAGGGCCAGATTTTCTCACAAGAACGCATTTTACATTGTCACAGTGATGAAGTAAACAATGGTAATAATAAATGCTTTCAGTTAGATGTCAGCCGGGATAAAATGTTTGGCTTGTCTGGAAATAGCTATCTTTTCCCACCAGTTACATCCTTGCATTGTGTTCCTTTGCTATCAAATGAGAGCAAAAAGGGAAGGAGAAGGAGGGGGAGGGAGGGAGAGGGAAAGAGGGAGGGGGAGGGAGAGGGAAGAATGAATTGACTCCTTAATACCCAGCTACTTGAGTAGCTAAAACTAGGTTATATATAAAGCTTCTTTCAATTGACAAGGAGGTCACTGGGCCATTGGGTAACTGGTTCAAATACCAAACATTTTTGCTTCACATCTCAAAATATTCTTGTCATCCCAAAGGAGTTGTTCCACAATAGCCCCAGAGGTGCCCCTCCCAACAATGACTAGTGTATCCGCGCTAGGTAGATATCAAAGGAGGCTCTTCAGCCACTGAAGATTGAGGGGGCACAGTTCTGTTATGATCCAGGGGGCTACTTTTTGCAGCACAGCGCTCCCAGTGCAGCAAGGGAGACTTACTGCACCCTGAAATTATTGTTCAAATCGCTTTCCACCCTGTTCCCCATAGACTTTCTAACCTGCCCCCTGATTTTCTTTCTAGAAGCAGAAGATATAACTCAGATCTAAGTCATCTATCTACCAATGCATTACCGTGGGGCTGGATTTCAGTCTAGAGACTTGCACAGGTGGCACAAGGGTCTCGTTTCATGACTCTGCGGAGTCTCCAACACTATCTTCTACTCCTAGCCTCTGTTTCCCAAAGACATATATGATGGAAATAACAGAAACTAGTAGTAATCCTAACAAGGATAAAAAGAAGGAAACCACTAAGGAAATGCGGAAACAGGAACTTTGTTTTACAAGACTGTGAGAATTCAAGTTAACACACGCATATGAAATAGCCTCTGCCAACCTCTGACGTCTAACCTAGGGACAAACCCTGTTGAAAAGGAAACTGCATGCTTCTCACTGACAGCTGAACTTTTTGAAGGGCCTCAAGATAAAAATAAAATTACTCACACTCCCTAGAATGGGCAGGTCTCTTATAGCTAAAGAGTGTCTTTTAGCAGGAAGAGTGTAGTTACAATTTAGCAACCTGTACAACAGCGGCTCCTGCAAAGATGGGATTTTGTTTTGAAGACTCAGAACAGCCTGGGTCAGGAGAAGGGAAATAATGGCTTTCCAACTCAGAGTGAGAAAACCAAATGAGGGTCCTATTCCTGGGTGTTTGTTCTTGGACCAAATTTCTAACCCCTCTCTCCAAAGCCCCCTGTTGAGCTCAGGGGAGAAAAAAAGATGAAAGGAAAAAGCAGAGGAAGAGGAACAAAAGAGCTTAAACCTCAGGATTCTAAACACAAACAGGATGAGTGCTGATGTTTGATTTCATGTCCCCTGGATGCTGGGAGGCATGGAGGGAGGATTAAGTACAACAAAGGCCCAGTCTCCCTGTGACAGTTAAATCAAGTCTACTCCACAGGCACTGAGAGCCACAGTGGTGATGCCCACAGAGGTCCGACTGTCTGTTTGGAAACAGTATTTCTCTAGTTTGTAGCTTGGTTTTGGCTTGACTGATCTGCCACTCTGGCATGAGGGTATGAGGGCAGTGTTGAAAGGGGACTGCTCATATGAGAGTACTTCAAAAAGTTCATGAACATGGACTTGAAGGACAAGTTTATGGTTTGGAAAAAAAAATAGAAATCCACACATTTTTTTTTTTTTTGCAACACGCATCTTCAATGGACTTTCTGAAGATCTCTCATTGAGCCCATTCTATCCTAGCCCACCCCACCCAACCAAACTCCTGGCAGTATACAAAAGGCTTGCTCTGAGTGCTTCTGCTCCATCTACTCAACTGTTCCTTACAGGACTTCTCAAACCTATGAGAAAACTAAAATATTTTTTAAGAGAGAAAAAAAAAAAACGAGTCCACGTTTCATGTAAAGGCTGCCTTACTTTTTTATTCATTCAACAAGAGACGTCATTCAGAACACAAATGCATGTGATTGCTAGGAGAGGCATATGTGCTTGTAGAAGGCAAAAAGACAGCTAAGAAGGCTCTGCTGGCTGGATCCCTCTGTGTGCTGGACCAAAAGACATTCCTTGACACCTCTTCTCTTGGATCAACCATTAAAAATAAGGTTTGTGCAAAGATCTCAGCCTTCTTTTAATAATGACCTTTTGGAAAACAGACATATTTTGGGAATGTACTGATAACTGTAGACCTTATCTTGGAAATATGCAGACATGCACATGCACACATTCATATGCACACATAAAACACACAGTTTCACGTAAAACTGCCACACATTCTTTGATCTATTTGAATTCACACATGGACTCTCCTTGGTAGTCCATGGGCCTAAAGGCAAGAACCTCAGGTCTAGAAGGAAAAATCGTTAACACTGATTAAGTACTTCCTGTGTTCCAGGCAATCTTCTAAGTGCTCTAAATACATTTTCTCAATCATAACAACCCTATGGAGTAGTTACTACTGCTCTCTATTCTACTGATGGGAAACTGGTGGCCAAGAATGGCACTTGCTCCAGGTCACTAAAGTGACAGAGCCAGGGTTTAAACCCTGATTCTGGGGCTCCCCCTAGCCACTAAGTCACAGCTGTGAAATGAGACAAATGAAAGAGATTTTATAGCATTTTCTTCTTTTGCGGGTAGGGGACATGTGGGTAATTTACCTCTCCAGCGATCTGAGACAGTAGTAATCAGGTGGCACTGGTTGGAAGGGAAATGTCTGGCATGTGTTTCACTCCACTCTAACTGCTATTCATGGTATGACACAAAAGCGAGTCAGGCCTTCTACTTGGCTTCCAATGAACAGGTCTATGGTACTGACATTAGCCCATGAACTCTTGAGTTCTTGACCTAGTAGCTGAGATTAGTTTCAGGGTCACAAATTTTAATACCCAAAAGGACCAGGAAAGTAATGTGAATGTGAGACATCGGCTAGTACAAGGCAGTAAGTAGTAGTGGGACCATGACCAGCTGGAGAGTTAATGTCCTGTCTCAAAACATTCACATTTGGGGCTGGTGTTGTGGCGTAGCAGGTAAAGGTGCCACCTATGGCACCAGCATTCCGTATGGACACTGGTTTGAGTCCCAGCTGCTCCATTTCCTATCCAGCTCCCTGCTAATACACCTGGGAAAGCAGTAGAAGATGGCCCAAGTCTTTGGGCCGCTGCACCCATGTGGGAGACCTGGAAGAAGCTCCTGGCTCCTGGCTTTAGCTTGGCTTCAGCTTGGTCATTGTGGCCATCTGGGGAGTGAATCAGCAGATAGAAGATTCTCTCTCTGTTAACTCTTTCAAATAAATAAAATAAATCCTTAAAAAAAAAGACATCCACGTTTATAGGGCTGATGTTGTGGCATAATGGGTAAAGCTTCTGCCTGGGATACCAGCATCCCCACATGGATGCCAGATTGCATCCCAGCTGCTCCACTTCTGATCCAGCTCCCTGCTAACAGCCTGGAGAAAGCAGCAGAAGATGGCCCAAGTGTTTGGGCCTCTGCCACCAATATGGGAAACCTGGAAGAAGCTCCTGGCTCCTGGATTCAGCCTGGCCCAACCCTTGCCATTGCAACCATCTAGTTCTAGAAGATAGAAGATCTCTCCCTCGGCGTGCTCTCTCTCTCTCTCTGTAACTCTGACTTTCAAATAAATAAATAAATAAATCTTAAAAAAAAGACATTCCCATTTAACAAACACTAACCCCATGAGGGCCTAACAAAAGACATATTCAGCCTGTGGAACATCAATTTATGCCATCTGAAGATACCAATCTCTTCCTATTCTCCAGGTGTTTCCAAGTCAGGAGCCAGGGATGTAACAGCTGCAATCTGTAAGCATGGGTCACAAGCTGGCCCATGGGACAATCTCCATTGTGACTGCCACTTTGTTAAAATCATGCTTTAATGTGCTCACCACTGATCAGTGGCTCACTAGCAGAAAGGTTCAGACACAGAGGGGCAGAAACTCTGGGCAGTATGTGACAGCACACATCACGTACCTCATACACAGGGAGCATTCAAGGTCAGAGGCGTCAAAAGATGCAAGCGGAATATTGAAAGCAGGTTTGGGCCCCTGATCAGCAGGAGGATCTGTGATTTAGAAAGCATTAAGTCAGAGCTTCACAGGCAGTACTTGTGAGGCAGAAGAATGCAACTTGTTTTTCCATTTGCCTCTCTCACCACCTCCCAGAGGGCTGATCCAGTGGCCACCTAAGCTCTTGAGAATGGCATACCCTGAAGTAGGCTCTTCAGCAGCCTTCTTCCTCCATGAAAAAAAGAAAAATACAAGCAGGGAAGGCCTAGGAGCCCTGGGGACTTCACTCAAATACAACAGGCCACCTCACTCAGCAGCAGCAGCAGCAACACACAAGTCCATGGGCTGAGGCAGGGCTTCTAAAGTGGGACAGAATCCTGGTGTTGCCAGCCACTCTTGAAATGATACCACGCTGCAGCTGCTGCCGCTGATACCTATCTAGGGAAACACAACCGGGAATGATCAGGGTGAGGCCTGCCCATACTTCCCTCATCCTACATTCCTGGAACACAGATCTGGGGGTAGGGAGAGGCTGATCTGGAGAGGAAGTGTGACACTGTCGATTGCATGGGCTGTCATTACTTGATACGGTGGCTTGACCTTATGGCTTGCCTTTCCATGATAACAATTATTAGGCATCTAGAAAATACCAGGCACTGTCTGTGATCTTACAGAAATTTCACACAGCAACCCCTGGGATCACACAGCTTTTGAGGGGCACAGCTGGGCCACACACCTAGAGCCTGCGGAGCACCCAGATGGAGAGTGAGGAGTTCGCACACATTGGCGAGCTCAGGCATCTCCTCCGAACTACTTTCTCCCCCGGGGGAGTGAGTACCTTGCTTGGAGGCTTTATTAGGCACCTCCGTGTCTTCTTGGGGTTCAATTTGGCAATGTTTCCTTTTCTTTTCCTGGCATTTGCCAGTCTTGACGGAGGCAGCTTCTGGGGAGGCAGCATCTCGCTCCTCCTTCCCTTCTTCTTCCTCACCTTGCATGTCGCCTTGTTGACTGTCTGCCCTTAATTTAGCTGGCTTCATCAGGCTGCTGCCATCTCCCCAGGCTGCTGCTTCTTCCCTACTAGAGCAATGCGGGAGCTCTGGACATTCCTGTTCCAAGAAAGAGGCATATATCAAAATCTACTCACAATCAATACTGCCCTATGGCATTCCTACTCACAGGGAACAAAAAGAAAGCCATCTAGTCCTGACCCTCACCCGTGAGTACATAATAGGCACACAGCTCAAGTAGGGGGCAGTCATGAGGCTTATTCTGTACTTCGTCTCCACACAGCATCTACAACAAAGGCATGCCCAGCTTTGATGCAGTTAGGAAAATGCCCTAGGTAAGGGCAGAAAGGTGTATGGGAGGAGAGGCCCCTTAGGTGCTTGGTGAAGGGGCCAGCAGCCCCCCCCCATTAGCTATGTCACTCCCCAGTAACCACTTTAAGGAAACCAAGGCATGCAGTGAGGGTCGATCCAGCCATTCAATACTTCCTCTCACCATCACTGCCACTCACGGCCATTTGCAATCTCCAAACCCCAAGTCCAAATGGACTTTTGGCACGGGTCTATTCATAGGCCTACCAAGTCAGCTCACACTCCAGAGCTACATGTTATACTAGTTAAATAAACAAGGGACAAACTACTCCTTGCACGAGATTTTGGGTGAAAAGTCCAAAGAAGAGAAAATCATTTGGAACAATCAACAATGTCTCTAGCCTTGGAAAGATCTTTTTTTTCCAGAAGAGGGATATTTGAAAATAGATCTAGAAATAAATCCAGTGACAACATGTTTATGCAGATTTACTTGAAGAATCCCTCTCCTATCCAAATCTATAACCCATAGTCAAAATATTCTTCTTGTTTTTTACCCTGCGATCTCGTCCAGAGACAAATGATAGATAGATGAAAAGGGAAGTATACAGTTGGAAGAAGACAATGAGGTGAAGAGGAAAAGGTCAGGTGGGTTTTCTCAGTGTGTAAGCTGGAGAGTGCAGGTGTTTTCTAGCACTAGATCAGTGCTAGTACCTCCATTTTCCATGAGCCCACAGCATTGTTCATGTAGTTGTACAATGCTTTGCCAAACAAAATTTGGATGGCAATCCAATCCCTGTTCCCCAGCTGGCTCACACTGGAAAGCCACAGTGCTATTTTTCTTCATTTCAGACTAGGCTGCAATTAGAAGTCACTCTAGGCACACGGGTGCAATATTAGCATTCTCAATCATGAAATAAAGATCATTGGGGGAATCTCTGATTTCAGCAGATACTCTAAGTCCTGCTTTTGCCTTTATGTTAAGCAAATCTGCATTTTATTCATTCTCCAGAGCAGAGAGAGAACCTAGGAAAATGTGAGATCCTAGGGCTTACCTAGTTGGGGAGAACATCAGGCAAGAATGGAGGGGAAACTGCTCCCCAAAGATGTGCAGGTATGCAGTGCTAAACTCTGCCTTCGAGTCTGGACCCGAGCCCCAGCTTCTGCCCACCTCTGTTGGGAAGGCCAAGGCCTGGAGCTCATCTATTTTCTTCTTCCTTGTTTTCAAAGCAAGGCACAAATACTGTTTTGTCTTCTTCCCAGGAACTTCAACTCAACAGTCTTCCCCAAACCCTTTCCTCTGCTACAAATCTGTAAGGGAAGCCTACGTATGTGTAAGACGTAGCACAGAAATAGAAAATTATTGCCATTTGGTGATCAAATGGAGTTATCTTTGCAGAAGGATCTCACTGGTGTTCAGAGGCACCACAGCTTGACCAAACAAAAAACAGGAAAGGAGGAGCTGTCAGGCCCTCTTTCCCAGGCTCCACCCCTAAGCCCAGAAACCCACTCAATTGTATGGCTCCAGGGGAAGAGGACCAATTCCTTTCTTTCTTTCTTTCTTTTTTTTGACAGGCAGAGTGGACAGTGAGAGAGAGAGAGAGACAGAGAGAAAGGTCTTCCTTTGCTGTTGGTTCACCCTCCAATGGCTGCCGCGGCTGGCGCGCTGCGGCCAGTGCACCGTGCTGATCCGATGGCAGGAGCCAGGTGCTTCTCCTGGTCTCCCATGGGGTGCAGGGCCCAAGGACTTGGGCCATCCTCCACTGTACTCCCGGGCCACAGCAGAGAGCTGGCCTGGAAGAGGGGCAACCGGGACAGAATCCGGCGCCCCAACCGGGACTAGAACCCGGTGTGCTGGCGCCGCAAGGTGGAGGATTAGCCTAGTGAGCCGCGGCGCCGGCCCCAATTCCTTTCTAGGGCCATAAAGTTTCTCTCTAGGGTGGATGTGATCAAGAACTAAAAAACAAATGTATGGGCTGGCGCTGTGGCCTAGTAGGTTAACCCTCTGCCTGCAGTGCCGCCATCCCACAAGGGTGCCAGTTTGTGTCTGGCTGCTCCACTTCTGATCCAGCTCTCTGCTATGGCCTGGGAAAGCAGTAGAAGATGGCCAAAGTCCTTGGGTCCCTGTACCCACATGGGAGACCTGGAGAAAGCTCCTGTCTCCCAGCTTCAATTCAGCCCAGCTCTTGCCACTGCGGCCATTCAGGGAGTGAACCAGTGAATGGAAGACACCTCTCTCTCTCTCTCTCTCTCTCTCTCTGTGCCTCTGCCTCTCTGTAACTCTGCCTTTCAGATAAATAAGTAAATCTTTAAAACAAATGTAGTAAGTAAATAAACTATGAGACTATGCATGAAATTCACAGGTGCATCTTCAAGAAGTAACCTTTCTTAGCCAAGAACACAACCACTAATGACTCCATTTCTCAGAAACCAAAGTGGGTAGGCTCACTGCCCTTGTTTGCCAATAAAAAGCCAAATGAAGCGTCACGAGCGAGCTGGGTGAGTTGAGTTTTACCTGTGACAACTTTGGTAGATTATGGCTGGTGCCTTCAGTAGCCATTGACTCTACGTGTTCCTTTAATCTAGGGTGAGGTGCCAACAGCTTCAGGATATCAGGAGAATGTTCCTGAGAATCCCCCGGGACTGATGGTGAAAAGAAACTAAGGAGAAGCTGTGACATAAAACAGAAGACTTCACTACTTAGGCTTCTATGGGTGCTCAGGTAAAGGGGGAAGGGCAGGAGGGGGCAGAGGACACAGCTTATGGGGAAAAAATCCAAGGAGGAAGCCTTGGGCCAGTGTCCTGTGACACACCAGGGCAAGGAGTCCTCACCGCAGTGTACATCAGAATCAGTAGGGGAGCTTCTAAAAAATCCAGGTTCCTGTTTCCCACTTCCTTATCTCCCAGGTCTCAAGGGGGACCCAGAAATCTGGGTTTTGAGAAGGCACTACAGATGCCTCTGTTATCTAGCCAAGGTTAAGAGCCACCACTCTGGTGTTACCATTCCACCGCAACATCTGCAGTGGGATATTAGCACTCATTCTAGAGGGATGAGACAGAGAGGTGAAGTCAGGAGAGAAGCTTCCATTGAGGATCCCGGAGTCTTCACCATACACTCCAGATGGGAAGAAGTCTACAAATGTCTTGCACCTTCCTAGTCATTTCTTTTCTCTGTCTACCCATTTTACTTCCTCCCCTCTTCTTCCTCACCTCTGGTTCTTTAATTCCTTCAGAGTTGGGGACCTGAATGGTGAAGCGGTGAAGCGTCAACAAAGGCAGAACCCAAACGTCCTCCCTCTTCTCCCAGCCCCACCTCCATGCTGGCCTTCACTTGCCAGAGAAGGTCAGGTTAAGTTCAAACACTGGGGTAGGCAGATTCCAGTCTATCACTGGTTTCCCTTGCCATTGGATGTGCTGGGAGGGCAGAGTGGGAAGATCCAGAAAGGGATGGGAGCCAAACCCGTGCACTCTCCTGCAGGTTGTGGCATTCTTGCATCAGTTTTCTCCCCTGCCAGCAGGGGTTGTGACTATGTAACACGTGAGGGGAGCTCACTTGTTTTCTAAAATTGACTCAAGTGTTTAGCATCTGGCCCCTCTCCCCTGCTGTGTTCAGAGATCCACTAAAGGATGCTCTACTCCCTTGTTGAGAGCACATGGTCAGAGTATCAATTGATCAAGGAACTCTGACAGAACACTCAACAGCAGTTCTCTCCCAGGAGTTTCTTCATGATGTTCCTTTGCATTCCAGCACTTGCCATATAACCAAACCCTGCTCAGCCTTCAAGGCTTAACCCAAAGCCGCCTTCCCTTACTACTGCAGTCTCCCTGGTCTTGCCTGTCCTGCCCTTTTCTCTACTGCAACACAAGATAGCATCTTAAACCACACCATCTCATATTGTCCTGGAATTGTGAGGCAGATGTCAATCTTTCTAGCCAGATGGCTGGCTTCTGGAGGGTACATAACAGATGCCCAATAAATACTCATCACGTTGGATAGAACTAAATTAACACGCTTACCCATCTCATGACCCTCAGACAGATGCCTATGTTTCCTTCCAACTCTGGGAAACCCACTTCACAAGCATAGGTTCGCAAAGGAGCGAGAGGGTATACTCACAGTGTCCAGAGCCACAAATGCCAGCTTTTATAGATCCCTTCTCCATGGAGGCCAAAATTGGCCCTCAGAAGCCCTACTGAGTGGTCCAAAAGGACCAACTACCTCCTGAGACAGCTTCCCTGAGCATGACTGTCTTCACTGGCAGCCACACAGCATTCCAAGGTTTAAGGATGAAAAGGGTGGAGGATGGCAGGGACAAAAGAAGGCCAAGAGAAGAAATCCAAGGAAACAAGGCAGAAATAACAATGAGATGTTCCTTCTTCACTCTACTATCTCAGATTTCTTTCTAGGCCTTCTCAATGGCTTCAAGAAACAATAGTCACGGTCAACTCTCAGTAAGAATAATCATTCCACATGAATGAAAGTCAATTCCAGTTCAGTGTCAGCCTTAGAAGGGCCCAACTGGGTCAACAAGGAAAAAAATAAGCTCAAGTAAAAACAAACCCAGATCTGAGTTCTAAGGCAGTTTATTAATGCCAAGTGAACCAGGGCCATCTCTGTCAAATCTTTAGCCTTGAAACTGGAACAATCCAGTAAATAAGCACAGCTGAAGACCCTCACTGTTCTTAAATGGTTGCCGTGGCCTCATTACATTCAGTGGAAATTTGTCACCAAATTCTCAGGCAAGCTTCAGAATGCCATAACACTCATTATGGGCATATGCTCGCTTGTATTGCCTAAGATTCGTATTAACAAACACAAGATGATACATTCCTTCCTTGAGGTCTGAAACTGTCATTTATGCCTTAGTCCTCAGAACTTCACACAATGCCTTGCAGCATCCTGTTAGTTGTGGAAATGACAACAGCTGGTCTATGAAAGTAGACTGGAGGAAGAGGTCAACCCAACTGAGGAAGCCAGAACCTCTCAGGTCAACTGGGAATTGGACAGAGTTAAAGAAACTACTTATCTTGGGCCTAAAACCTACCTTGGTTGGCCTTTGCACCCTCTGTCTCCAAGTCAAGATACTTCTACCTGCCTTTGTCTATCCAAAAACTGCAGAATTCCAACGCTGCCCTTGACCTAGCCCTACCAGTGAGTGCTGAGACTCCAGAAATGTCTGCCCAGGACAGCAGACTGCTGGAATGGCTAAGAGGAAAGAGTTTGGAAGCAGGCAGAGTTAGTTAGGTTTGAGTGTATTCCCACCAACAACTGGCTGCATGACCGTGGGAAAGTCACCAAGTCTCAGCTTCCTCACCTGTCTCATCCTTAACATGGGCATGAATAACAACACTTACTCTCATAAGGACTTTGTCAGGATTAACTTGCATCTTACATGTTAAGTATCTAGGACAATGCCTGATGCATAGCAAATCCTCAAGAAATGTTATCTACTATTATTATTATTCTCACTATGAATTACACTTAAAATTTGGGAAAGGTTCCACAACTTAAGAGCAATTCTCCCCCTCACATGTTCCTCTCAAGAAAATCTTGTCTACATGCCCAAACAGGAAAACAAAACAAAAACAAACAAACAAAAAAACTTTCCAAAAAAGAAAACCCTCTGTGACAGACAGAAAATTCAGAACCCAGCTTCTCCTTGTTCATCGATTTTGCTGAAGATTCCTTTCCTGGAGCCTTCGGAAGTCAGGCCTGTCTGTTGCTCACTTTCTTCATCCACTGCTCTGCCAAACCATACAGGGATAGAAGCCCTTGGGGCCTGGTGGTGAGTGGGGGTAGGGCACAAGGACAGCAGAGACAATCATTGACTATCAGCATCCAACTTCCAGGCCAATTAGCCCGACACTAAGTAAATTGCAAAGCAACAAACAACAAGGTCCATGAGTTAAGGATGCTTGAACCTTCACTCGTGCTCTCAGTATTTCAATTAGGTTTTCTTGGTAACAACCACCTTCTCCTGGTACCTAGGATTTAGAATGACTGTTTAGATTATATCATAATGGTCTCTGACTTACATTTGTGAGACTTCGTGTTTTACTTCTGGCAAGGGAGCTAGAGACAGGAGTTATACACATGGCAGGTGAGATGGGGGCCATCATTGTCACTGCCCAGTTGTTGGCTGCCTTGTGTGGCTGGTAAAACCATGATTCAGCTGAAGAAAAACTATACAACTGCAGGCAACCCTATGCGCCACATCGCTCATCGACAGCCAGCCTCCTCAATGAGCCTTGATCCTCACGTTCACTTGTTTTGTTTTAAATCCCACTGATAACCCAGACCATGAATCAAAGAAGCAAAAACATTCTTCCTAGGCTCCTACAAAAATTCGGAACTGCTCAATCTGTATGTACATGCCCACAGGACAGTGTTTCTGGGCAGTCAGTTGGCACTCACGTCTCCCTCCTGTCCACCCACTGAGACCTCCAAATGCCAGGGGCCACATCCTCACTCCCCTCCCCAGAGAAAACAGGTCCTTTAGGCAGCTGGGCCTGATGTCATTTCAACTCACCCTTTGAGCTTCCAATCTTGCTCTTTTGTTCTTGCCATCCAGGGACACACAATAGAGAAACTCCCTTAGTGCTTCCTCCACTTTGCCTAGAGTAGCCAAGGCTTGCGCTTTTCTGAAGTGTGCCTGAAAGAAAACACCAGCACTCAGTCCCAACCTTTGCACATTATTCACACTGTGATTATTGATAATGATAACACTCGCTAAAGACTTAATAATACTAACTTGCATAGAGTATCTTAAAAAGACTCTCTTATCTTCAACCTTATAACTAGGCATAATATGAATCCCATTTTAAAGAAACAAAACTGAGAGCCAGAAAAGTAACTTGCTCAAAGTAATACAACTGGTACATTGTAGAGTTAGGCTTTGAACCTGGGACTAATATCAAGCCCACAGTCTTGCCATGCTACCTCCTCTCTGTTCCACCCCTGCATAGAAGTATCACCAAATGTAGACAGAGCTCCCATTTGACCATATGATAACAAGCTTCCAGTGCCCTCCCAGATATGCCTGCGATTGAATTGATCTGTCAAGCAGAGACCTAGTGAACCTAATACTGATCAAAAGAAGGGGCGTGACCTAAGACCGCAAAAGTAGCTAGTGGCAAAGCTAGAACTAGAACTGTACTTTAGGACTCCCAGGACTTAGGACTCTTCCCCACAAAGCAAATGCTTCCTTTTATTAAAATTTATTTTATTTATTTGAGCGGGGGAGGGAGAGAGAGAGAGAGAGAGAGAGAGAGAGAGAGATATCTTCCATCTGCTGGTTCACTCCACACATGGCTGCAACAGCCAGGGCTGGGCCAGGCTGAAGCCAGAAGCCAGGAGCTTCATTCCAGTCTCCCATGTGGGTTCAGGTGCCCAAAGACTTGGGCCATCTTCCGCTGCTTTCCCAGATGCATTAGCAGGGGGCTGGACCAGAAGTGGAGCATCCGGGACTTGAAACGGCACCCATGTAGGACACTGGCATTGTAAGTAGTGGCCTAACCTGTTAAGCCATAATGCCAGCCTCACCAACGCTTTCACTCCTAGGGGCTCAGCTCACTTCTGTTCCTTCACCACATCTTTCAAAAGCACAAAGAAATTTTAGGACCCCTTGGAGTTCTAGCTCAAGTGCCCTGGCAAAAACCCTAGGGAGAGCAGGGCAGCATCCTGGGGAAGAGGGAGAAAGAAGAGAAGAGAAGAGGGTTGCCTTCTCTGTCTTGGAACAGGAATCTACTTGCAACTTGGCTTAAAGAGCATTCCTCTTGAGTCATCTAGGCTGCCTCTAGGTGGCCTACTCCCCAGCCTCTATGGCTGAACTTAAGTCTAACTTAGGGCATGAAAGACCCAGGATGCAAATGCTGGGCACACCCCTGCCTCCCCTTCTACCATGCTTCTGCACACTCAGAGCCCTTGGGTTTTGGCCTGGCTATAGGAGTTGGCTAAGAGCTGCCTTCCTGCACACTAGCCTCTGCTCCAAATGTCTTGGAGACATCTCCCTAGGCCCCCACGTCCTTGTGGAGCCCAGTACTGGCTGATTGATAGGTGGATGTTCCTTGACCAAACCTTCCAGCAGTGCTTACCAGGGGCCTTCTGGACAAAGGCTCATATGATATGGCAGGGCAGCTAGCAGAGATAATGTTGGGGAATGGAGCGGCTCCTGGAATGCCACTAATCAAACCAAGTAGCAACTCATATACTCCATGTGGTCAGGGCAGGCAGCTCACCACCCCCACCCCTCACCCCCACTGAGAGCTGTACCACCACAAGTTGAGTGCCAAAGAACCTGGCTAAAATGGCCAGGACAGGGCTGCCAGGTGAATCCCCTCACTTTGGAAATTTCAGAGCAATGATGGGAAATATGCAAATTGGGATATGATGTGGTTTTGAGTTACATGCATCAGTTCAGGTCTACTCTCTACCCCCAAGACAATGGAGTTTGCTCATCACTGCCACCATCACTTACCCCACCACAATGGGAAAATGAACCTCCTACTGAATATTTCCACAAACTCTTCCTTCACTGGAGAAAGTCTCTTTTTCCATTTCACCCAAAATGCACCATTGCTCCTCCGCCCTGCTTTCCACCACACTGTCAAGGCCCTCAGCTCTAGCCCTAGACTTACAATGGGAGGAGAGGGAGTTGCAAGGGAAGCCTCTTATCCCTGAAGCTCCTGGTTTCACTCTGCTACCACACCTGAAATGCCCTTACTGAAGCACCTTTGGGTTAAGACACTGATGGGGGCTGGCCCTGTGGCATAGTAGGCTAAGCCTCCACCTGTGGTGCTGGCATCCCACATGGGTGCCAGGTCGAGTCCCAGCTGCTCCGCTTCCCATCCAATTCCCTGCTAATGGCCTGGGAAAGCAGTGGAAGATGATCCAAGTGCTAGGGCCCCTGCATGCACATGGGAGACCAGGAAGAAGCTCCTGGCTCATGGCTTTGGAGAGGCCCAGCTCCAGCCGTTGGGGTCATTGGGGAGTGAATCAGTGGATGAAAGACCTCTCTCTCTCTCCCTCTCTCTCTGTAATTCTGCCTCTGAAATAAATAAATAAATATTTTTTAAAAAGACACTGATGAGTTGTACTAAATTGAAAATGAGTCCCTTGGAAAGAGAACATATTGATCAATCCTAATTCATGAAAATCTTCTCATGAAAGAACTTATGGGTTCTGGTGTTGTGGCACAGTGGGTTAAGCCACTGCCCACAGTGCCAACATCCTATATCCAAGTGTCAGTTTGAGTCCCAGCTGCTGATCTAGTTACCTGCTAATGCACCTGGAAAGACAACAGACAATGGCCCAAGTGCTTTGGGCCTCTGCTACCCATGTGGGGGACCAGGCTAAAGTTCCTGGCTCCTGGCTTTGGCCTGACCCAGACCAGGTTGTTGTGGCCATCTAGGGAGTGAACCAATGGATGGAAGATTTTCTCTCTCTCTCTCTCCCTCCCTCCCTCCCTCCTGCCTTCCTTCTCTCTTTCAAATAATAAATAAGTGCGTTTTTTTAAAGAAAGAACATATAAAATTCACCCTGACATTAATGACAGAGTATGCAGGTTCACAATGTTTTATCTGAAGTTCGAAAATGCAAGAAGATTGTGACAATCCAATATTTTCATAAGATTGACATCAAAATTCCTTATGTAGCAGAACTTGAACTAAACAGTATATACTACGTTTTAAAGCATTTGACTTAGGGTGAATTTACATGTAAGTGCGTTTGATTACCGTGCACTGTCCAAAGCTCACTGAGAGTATGGTATTTTCTATAACCAGACACGTTCTGGATTCTGAATACACCTGGTCATATGGGAGTCAGCTAAGGAATCATGGCTGGTGGCTTGAATTAAGTTGATTTCCCACGGAAAGCATCCTGGGGTCTGATAGACAAAGTACTATGCCAAGACCCAGACAGCTTTCTTGCTTACAGAATCCTCTCTAGGCCATTGGTCACTTTTGATCCTCACGCATCCCTGTGAGGCAATCAGGGCAGATAGAAATAGCTTTGTTTTGTAAACAAGGATACTTGGGGTTCAGAGAATAAAGCCACTTATTCATGGTCACTAAGCTTGCAAGTGACTAAGCTTACAAATACTAGATCCCGCAGTCAAATCTAATCTTTGAAAGAAACTATGGCTGAAGGCCAGTCCTGAGGCCAGGCAGAGATGCAGAAAGTGACACTTTGTATCCTAGCATCCTGACAGATTCCTAGCCTGTCTCTTCCCACCTCTCTGATGTGACCTAGATGTTTGGGGATACTGGCAGGCCCACTAACTACTATATTAAGGACTCAAAATGGCACAAGTGTTGTGTGAGAGTGAGGATCTTTTCAAAGAAAGCAAGCTAAGCTCCTGAGAAACCTGGCTATCAGTAGAAGTTCCCAAGGGCCAGTGCAGCAATGCTTCTCTTGCTCTCCTCTTTTCTCTTGGCCCTGGAAGATGATGATGATGACGACGATGATGATGATGATGGTGGTTGTGGAAAATATGTAAATAATGCTACGTTCCAGGCACAATTCTAAGCATTGACTATATAGATGCTCATGTCATCTTCAGAACAACCCTATGTAGTAGGTGCTTTGAATGTCCCTGTTTTACAGGTGAGGCGATGAGGCACAGAGAGGCTCAGTCACTTTCCCAAGGCCACACAGGTAGTAAAACATAAATCCAGGCACTCTCACTCTCAAATGCACATTCTAGAGACTCTCAAAGGCCAGGCTGCTCTGGCAGGTCATCCACTGAAGAGCATGTTGGGGAAGAATCCAGTTCCCTTGCAGACCTGTTATCACCCTTTGCCAGGGGACCCCGGCTCTTCTGCAAAGCTTCCTCCCTGCTCTGCCTCAGCTCTAGTACCCTATGTCCCCAAGGAAGCAGTCCTTCCTCCCAATTCCTATCTACCATATAACCCCTTCCAAACCCTCCCATCCCATACTTCCTTACCTTAAAACCCATTGGGCGGAGTTTACATGCTATTTCTGCATCATGCAATGCATCTTCATGAGACTCCAAGGTGAAATAAATTTGAGATCGGTTGCTATAAAGCAAGTGGTCATTTGGAGCTGCCAAAATGAGAAAAAAAATCCTCATTAAGATCCCTGTGCACAAAAATGTGGTAAGATTCATATGATGGAGCTTGAACCATAGCAAGTTATCCAGGACTTCTCTATCAGGGATCCAAAATGGTAAATCCATTCCTCATCATATTACTCTGTCTTCCACACCCCCAGCCACTCTGGGTCTGAGCTTTTCCAACTGTAAAGAAGTACTTGTGGGTCTCCCTGGCCCAGCAGAGTCTTGTCGTATCTGTGGTGCATTAGACACTTTGACCTAGGAGAAACCCTGGCAGCCTGCTTCATGGCTACACACAGCTAGTGCTGGCAGAATGGCTTCTGAGGGAGGCATCACTAACAAGGAAACAGGCCAGGGAGGAAAGAGAGGGAGGTAGCCTGATGTGGCCTCTGTCCTGACCCTCAGGAAGACAAGTCCAAGTTAGCCTTCTAGGTCGGTTAACTGGTGACATTAACAATCTTTCTGTCTACCAAATCCATCACCTAGGAAACTTCCCTGAAGAAAAAGGAAATGCATTTACAAAGTCCCATCCTCTAAGTCCAGATGGCCAAATGTGAATGAACTTGGACAAGGCTTCTGGGGGAAAAGGTAAGGTTGGCTTTCAGCAATTCTGAAAGATGCCAGGACTGGAAAAGACTTCTCGAGACCATGTGACTCAATTGATCCATTCTTCAGATGAGGCAAATCAAGCCCAGAGAGGGGAAGGAGCTGTCTCAAGGTCACACAGCAAGCTGGTCAGAGTGGTTGCTAACTGCTCAAACCTTGAAGCTTTGAAGTTGGGGTGGAGAGTAACAGGTTCCCTTTTCTGAAGGTGTGTACAACACTTAGAATAATAAGCAGACACTGGCCATGTTCCAGAACTAAGATGCTCATAGTTGCAAGAGGTTGGGGGGAGAGGGGGTATCTTTCCTCTTAGAAGGGTGAAGCTGTTCTTTATATTTTCACCCTGATTGTTCCAAGAGGATTAGCAATAGTGCAAGGGAGAACTCCCAGGGGGAAGTAGCGTCAGCAACAGAGGAGAGAAGAGGCCAGGAAGAGAGTTTCCGGGTCGTTGGGGGATGGCTAGAAGGAAGGAAACTAACCTTGGAGATCTGTACTTGGGTGACCTCTGCCTATCTCAGTCACACTGCCCTTCTCTTCCCCAAGGTGTCGGTGCTGGCTTCTGCACCAGCAACCACTTGCTTTGACGGTTTATGTTCTGCGAACTTGCTAGGGAGCCCATTACTTGCTCTTAAAAGACAGGAACAAAGAGTTGAGGGTCTTTTCTGTCCCTTCTATTCTTCAGCACATACCAGCCAGGAGGCAGCTCACAGGCTCGCTTGGACAGAGACAGGGAGTAGGGAGCTGGTGGGGGCAGCTTTGTCTGGTAAGCCATTGTCGCCGCCCCCCCCAGTTACCTGTTGCAAGTTTGGGAGATTCAACACGTGGAGATTCCAGCCCACCCCCTCAGTCACCCATCAGAGTCTGGCCCAGGACTCCTTCGGGTCCCAGTGCCCTGCCTGCCCAGTGCTGCTGCTTCTTCCCCAGCACGCTCCATCAGACACCGCGCCCGGCGGGCTGAGCTCCTGGCAGCCTGCCCTAGCTGGGCAATATCAGCTGGCGGATGGGCGGCCCCTTCCTGGGCTCCGGGCGAACGGGATCCGGGCAGCGGCGCCCGGTGACAAGTCGGGCGCCCTAGTCCGGTCGGAGGTGTGGGGCGGCCCCCGTTGCCCTTGAAGCTGCGAAGCGCACTCCGCCTCGGCAGGCAGCGTCCGCAAGCACAGCGGAGGCGTCGTGTACCGTTCGGAGACAGCTCCCAGTCCCCGGAGATCCCGAGGCACCAGCGGCCTGGCCGGGTCGCGCGCGGGGTTGATGGGGTTGAGGGGTTTGAAGCCAGGGCGCAGGCTGCGGGCTGGCTGGGGGCGGGGAGGCATCTATTTCAGCCGAGGAGCGTGTGATAGGAAGCGGTGACAATGAGTCACAGGGCAGCGGGGCGCGAGCGCTCCCCTCCCCCCGCACACGCTCGCGGGATGGTTTCCGAGGCGAGCGTGGCCCACTTCGGTTACCTCAGCCGTTACACAATCCCGCCCGCCCGCCCGCCCGCCCGCGCGGAGGAGGGGCCGCCCGGCCCGGGCCGCTCGCGGCCCTTATGCAACCAGTGCTCTCCTGACCTAATTCCACGCCGGACCCACCCCACAGGGAGCCGCGGCCCCGGAAGGGACAACTCCCAGCGGCGGGAGCGGCAGACGCAGGCGCCGATCGGACATCTCCTGCTGGCAACACCCCAGAGGTCCGGACGCAAGTGTGGGAAGGCTGCGAAGTTCCTCTCCTGGCGGGGAAGGTGCGGGCAGGTGTACGTGGGGGCCCAGGTGCGCCGAGCAGAGAGGAAGCAGCAGAGACAAAGAAACAGACAGTGACACTAAGCAAGGCAGAAACAGAGTGACAACAACGCAAAGAGTAGGAGTAAGAGCGAGAAACAAGGCGACACAGAGAGAAACAGAGGCTGAGGCTAACAGGAGATGCAGGAAAAGACCCACGGCAGCACAGACAGAGGGGCAGAAACACAGCGCAAGAGAGTTAAGCGGTGAGGACGAAGTCCCAGAAACCCCAATTTCTCCCACCCTGGCCGCGTCCATCCCACGGTTCCCCGCACCAGTCTCCTCCCCGGGTCCAGCCCCATCTCGCCGCTGGGTTCCTTCTCCCGCCTCTCGGGTCGCGCGGCCAAACCCCGCTGCGGCCCCGGGCCGGCCCGGCAGCGGCGCGGTGGGCTCACCTAGCCTAACTGCCTCATTGTACTTGAGCAGCGCCGCCTCCACCTGGCGCTCGCGGTACAGCCGGTTGCCCTCGTGCCGGAGTTGCGACGCCCGCGCCGGGCCCGGGAACAACTTGCCGAGCAGGCCGCTGAGCACGACGTTGACCCGCAGAGGCGGCGGTGCCTGCTGCCCAGCCCGCCTGGCCCCGCGCGCCCGCCCAGTGGCCACCATCAACGCGGAGAGCTTGACCCCGCACAGCGCACAGCGCCGGTCGGCTGCCCGCCCACGTTCCAGGCAGAGTTTACAAAAGGTGTGGCCGCACGACAAGGACACGGGGTCCGAAAGAAATCCGTGACACTTCCGGCACTTGAAGCCGTCCCACACTTCGGTGGCCGCAGCCGCTGCCGCCCCTGCCTCTTCCACCGCCACCGCGCTGCTGGGTTCCGAGGGTGCCGGTGCCGGCGCCGGCGCCAGCACCTCATCTTGCCGGACGTTCTCAGCCAGGCAGCGCACCAGCTGTTCCAGCTGCTCGGCCACCAGCTGCTGCCGCTCCGAAAGCTGTCTGTACACCTCGAGGGCTTCCCGGAGGCGTCCCACGGACGCCAAGGCGTCGGCCTGCTTGAGCAGGACTTTGCACTCCGGCGTCGAGGTCCTCGGAGACGGCTCCGGCTCTGGCTCCCGCGTCGGTAGAGATGCGGGGCCCTCGGTAGCCGGCTCCGGGTTGGGACCGCTGTCTACGCGGGCCGCTGATGCTGCCCGCTCCTCCGGTTCCGCCAGCTCTAAGTTGCTGCTGCCGACCTCGGCGGGTAAGCTCAGCATCTGTTCGGTCTGAAAGGAATCCATGGGGAGAGAGGCACGCGCGGGGAAGAGGCGTCTAGGCACTGGGGCTACCGAGCAAGGAGTGGCGGCTGGACGGAACCGGGGCTGCCACGGACGCCGGGCCGCCGCGCGCCGGGCCCTGCCGCGCCTCCGCGAGCTCCATGCCGGCTGCCCCGCGCCGCCTAATAACTGTCTTGTCTCAGCAAAGTGTTATATAAAACGACACCACGTGACGCGCCACCTCGCCGCTCATTGGCCAGCGGCGGGGAAATTGTTACAAAACCAGACAGTTTTGTAACAGTGTTGCGCTTGCTTCTTTTTGGCTTCGCTTTTCTTGGCTTCTTTTGGAGATTGTTTGTATTGACACTCTGCCTTATTTCCTCCCCGCAACGTGGTTCCTTTTGAGAAGGAAGGTGAAACCCAACGTCTCTGCCCGGGGTTCTCCATCTCCAAACCCCACCCCATTCTTACCTCCAAAGTGGCCGGCAAACAGGTCCCCTCGGTTAGCACTCACTGCCGCCGCCCCCTCGCCCCTCCCGAGAGTGAGAGAGACAGAGACAGAGACAGACAGACAAAGACCTCGAGGCACACTCTGCGGGATCTTTTGCGACGCTGCCGCAGGCTCTCCCTCCCCTGGCCCGCCGGGGCTCTCTGCGGAGGGAAGAGAGTTGGGAGGGCTGGCTACCCATAAAGTCTTCCCCCGACCCCTGCCCGGGAGCCCTCGGTGCCCCCGCCCCGGCTCCCCGCCTTTCGTGGGGAGCCCCAAAGGTGATGAATGCACTTTTCTGAGGATTCTTGTTTCCTGTGCCGGGAGCGACTCCAAGCAGCCCGTCTGGCCGGCACAGAAGTTGGGCATCGCTCCTTCCGCAGGGAGCGACGCACGGAGATGCGCTTGTCTCTGTGGCCCCTGCGGGAGACGCGTGCCTGTTCCTTCTCCTCACCTCTTCCCCAAAACCAAAACCTTTTCTGGGGCGGGCAGCTAGCGCCCAGCGGGAAACGCAGCAGGCCCGGGAGTCAGTGGCCAGAAGGGTGTGGACTCAAGAATTCGGCCTGCTGGGTGCGGTGGGTACTCTGGGGGCATGGGAGAATGGCAGACGGAAGACAGCGCCGCTGTGGAGAGAAATCGCGAATTCTGGCGTAGTCCAGTGGTCGGCGGAGCGGCCTCCAGGTTCCTGGCCTCCAGGTTATTGGCCTCTGAGCTCAGACTTTTGACGGTGCTGCGCCACAATGGGTTGTGTCGGAGCGGTCCAGCTAGCTGGGAGCAAGCCGCAATGCACAGCTCACAATGGGAGGGGCATTTGAGGGTGCCCCTTTAAGGCCAGAGTAGTGGCCAACTGGATGTGCTGTTTTGTATCCCCTCTGTTCTCACACACTCTCAAGGTTTAGAGACCTAAAGGAATAAGGGGATCCCTAAGGTTTGCGCTGTTCCACGCAGGGAGAGAGGTGTGAGCTTACCCTAACTTAGTCTGCTTCCAGAGCCTTCGGCCCTAGGAAGTGCTAGGGGTGGTAGCTTGGCCATTTCTTAGCTGGGTGAGCTTGAGTAAGTCACCTAAACTCTGGGCACCACCATTTTCACTTGTGAACACACACTAGGGATGATTTTACTTGGAATTAAGTCATGTTTCAGAGCTGGAGATGGCAGCCCCTGCATCCCTTTAGGTTGCTCACCCCACCTCCAGGCAGCACCAAGGTCCCCAAGAACAGGTAGTGTATAGTGGGAGTTTCTTTTTGAGAGGACAGGAGGAGAGGATGAGAGAAGGGAAGCCGCACATAGGGGAACAGGAGACCAAGGAAAGAACCAGAGGAAGTCAGGGTGTAGCTAGAGAAGCATGAGGGGCACAGGAAGACTTGGTTGGAAGCCCTGACTTTGCCAGGATTTGCTGTGAGACCTTGGCCCAGTCCTCCAGGCCTTTGTTTCTCCTGCCTCCAAGGTTCCCTCTATAGCCTTGTCTTGAGTGACACTGATCCTAAGACCAGATTTTGCCGTGCTAATGCAACTGCTGAAGTACAGTGACTAGTCCAGATGCTGTGGGTGGGGCGGGACAGGGAGCCAGCATCAGCAGCAGGAGTGAAAGGACAGGGGCAGCTGTAAGACTTTCCTCTTGCTTAGGCTGAGGCCTGAGCTAGATTTCTGAGGACAGGAAGGTTGGGGGACTGTCCAAGAGGTGGAGGGCTTGGCACAGCCACACAGTGGATGAGAAGCCGGGGCTCCTGGCAACTTGGCTGGTGGAATGGAACTCCTTTCAGCCTTCAGTTTCTTTTGCTTTTCAGTGTGGTCAGCAGCACTAATTATCCACCTGCTCCCTCTGGCACCTGTGAGGAGGGACAGTCTGTGGGGCACATAAAGAGATTTTTGCTAAAGAGCCATGAGATGGATAATGGTGAAAACTTTTAATCCAGGAGCTTTGTCTCTTTGACATGTTTCAAAGAATAGATGTCCGTTACCCCAAATTATCTTACAGATGCAGATCACTGGTGTTCCTTGCTCCCTGGACCACCTTGACAGGGGAGCATCTCTGGGGTTCATTCCCCCCCCACCTTTCCCTGTTGGCAATGGGGAGGCAAGGAGAAGGCCAGGTCAGGCAGGGGGTCACAGTCCTGCAGGAATGGAGAAGAGATGAGCACTCTGGGCAGCTCCTGTTGGCAGCTGCATGTGCACAAGACTGACCATAAACTTGGTCAGGAATGTCTAGTAGTCAGGGTGTTAGAACTTGAACAGATCTTACTGAACACTGAAATGGTCCAGACTAGGAGGGTGCAGAGGGACAAGAGGATACCCAGCAGGAATGTCCCTTAGTCCTGCCTGAGATACAGAGAAGAGAGTAGACAGGCAGATGACGAACGTTGACAGTCCTGCATGTGCAAACAGTTTTGGAATTGAAAATTCCAGTCAAAGCCAGAAACCTGGAGTAAGGAGTAAACAACCACCACCATTCCCACCTCACCACACACACACACACACACACACACACACACACGATGCATGGAAGCTTGGCCAAAGCACTGACTTGCAGTCTAGTTGAGTTTCTCATTTTATAGATTGGGGTGACCCCTGTCCATTTGCAGGGGGGAAAAGGTAGATGGGCTTTCGAGGCATTCACATGTCTTTTGCTGTGTAGAGTAGCCAAAACTCAACTCTGAGAGTTTACTCATCAGCCCTGGTTTCACAAATGAGGGAACTAAGCACCAGAGAAGGCAGGCGACTTGTTACAAGTCACAATGGGAGTTTGTGACATAGCCAGGACTGCAAGCTGGGGCTCCTGTCTCTTTGCTTTTAGAACATTTCATCCATGTGATCAGAATGTTTCCAAAGGGTACAGAACATCTCCCCAAATGAGTAAGAAATTACCTCAGGTTTTCCATGTACATGATTTCTATTAATTCAGCAACTATTTCTTGAACATATACTTTGTGCTAATGGAGCTAGCATTTGTGAGGCAATAACAGAAGAATACGACACAGTCCTTATCATCCAACAGGTATTTGTGGGGCAATAATAGAATATAACACAGTCCTTATCGTCCGACAGCTAACTGAAGAAATAAGTAGTGAAGATTCGAAACCATTATGTAAAAATAACAAGCAGTGTGTGAGACATGACAGAATTGGGGGAACAGTGTGTCCGAGGGAATGCTCAAAGGGAGTACATTGCAATGGTTTCCATATCCTAGACGAGGTGTCTTCAAAGCAAAGTTGGAGAGGATTTGAATAGAGAAGTGCAAGACCACCATGCTGTTCAACTCCCTTTGTGTTGGGGGCTAGGTGGCCTGGGGAAAGGAGAATTCCAAGTAAGCTGGGCTGGTCAAGGCTCAAGAATTTGTATCGTTGAAGGCTACCCATGTAGCTACCCATGTAGTTGTGAAACTCTGCTAGGTTTGGTATTGACTGTGTAACGGGTCATGCAGAATAGACTGAGAGAATACACCCCAATCCTTCTCTCCCCATCTCATGCTCAGCTTTTCTGGAGGTGGGAAGGCATCGATAAGTCCCTACATTTTACTGAAGGGAAAGGTCCAGAGAGTTTCAGTGATGTGTTGAAGGTCACTCAGGAAGTAGTAGGCACTCTGCCCTTTTGCCAACCAGTAGAAACAGAAAAGATCACAAGATACCATTTCAAAGAAGGTTTTGCTTCATTTCTCCACAAGTCAAACCTACGTGGTTAGCTGGAGAGTCTATGGCCACAAAAAAGAGCACATCTCTGGAGCTGCCAGGTGTGTGGGGACAGAGCCCAGGGCGAGGTTCATTTTGGAAGCTTGGAGTTCTAACTTGGCTGTGTGACTCAGCCAAAGCCACTTCCCCTCTCTTTATGTCTGTTCCTCACCTATTAATAACAAAGCCCTACGCCATTGTTAGGATTAGCCACCAGTGATGAAAATGCACAGTGCAGATAGTCCTGATGTGATTCCTGGGAACAGAAGGGATCCACAGCCATCTGCCATTTGTTATGAGCAAAATACATGTTGGCTGCCCTCAGAGTAAGCATTTTCTTCCCAGGAGGAGAACGAGCTGGAGGCCTGCGAATGGGCCCTGATTTCTTCAGGGCCACTGACCTGTGTGGAAGCTCCGGAGTCGCTGGAAGACTGCACTCTGGTCTTAGGAGGAAAAAGAGAGAAAAATCAGGTTATTTGGAGGGAAAGCAGCAAATATTCACCAGGAGGAAATTGTCTGAAAACTTTGGCAGAACTCAGAAATGGTTGGAATCAGGGCTTGGATTTTTCTTTTAATTGTGTTAAAATATACATAACATAGTATTTACCACTTTAAACACTTTTAATGAGTCCATGGTTCCATGACACTGCTATCATCCATATCTTGAACCTTTTTCATCTTGAAAAATCAGAACTCTATATGTGCTCACTCAAAATTGACTCCCCATTTTCCCTTCTCCTGAGCCCCTGGGAAACACCATTCTACTTTCTGTCTCTACCAATTGGACTAGTCTCGGTAGCTCTGTTTCTTCATATGACTGGCTTTTTCATTTAACATAACATCCTCAAGGTTTGTTCATGTGGCAGTATGTATTAGAATCTCCTTCCTTTTTAAGGCTAAATGATAGTCCATTGTGTGTATACATACATCTTACGACATACATATACATATATATATATTTATTCATTCAATTATCCATTGATGGACACTTAGGTTGCTTCACCTTTTAGCTATTATGTTATAAACCTGGCTATACA